CTTGGAAGAAGAATGGGCGAATCCGTCGCTCCCGCGCTTCCGCCGCTCCCGCAGGAACCGTGTTCCCGCGTCCTCTGCCCACAAGTTTGAGCGTGTGCTGAGAGGTGGGTGGAGGTGCATCACCTGCTGCGAGTTCATCACCACCACCGCCCTGGAGGTTGCCTGTGCTAGGTCGCGCGAGATGCTCCCCGCCTCTCATTCTACCACGACCCCCAACATGGCTGGGGTCGACTTTCGGCGGGTAGCGGGGGAGGCGTGGGTAGGTGTCAGCAAGGTCGAGCCCAACCGTCAGCTTTGGTGTTGTGAAACCTTGTCCTCTTCGGTCCTGCATGCTGTGCGGATCCACTGCCTCGACCGACGGCAGGCATCTCGCCAAGCCCTGTTCTCAGAAGGGATCTTCAAAGGGCCAGCAGAATATGGTCAGTATGTCCCAAGGCTGCCACACCTGGACCCTAGGGGTTCCTGGGGCGACCCTGGGTGCACTGTAAGTTTCTGTCGAGGCACGGTCGACTTAGTGTCGACGGCCGCTCATCGTGGACGTGACGAGGTCCCCCTCGGTAACTCTCTGGTCCCCACCACAGCCCATGTTGCTGCGCTCGTGGCATAGGATGAAGATCCGAAGTGTCCGACACGCAACAGTGCAAGCAAGCGGCCTTGGAGTCGCCCAGCGGGGAGATCGCGACATCCTCCTCCTCATCCTCCTCCTCTGTTTCCTCTTCCTCATCCTCCCTTTCCTCCTCCTGGGCCCTCCTCCACCGCCCCACCACCATCCCGCACTCCATGTTCCTCCTCCTCCTCCGCCCCCGTGGTTCGCCCTCACCTTGGCCCGCGGGGCGCGGAGGGGCCTCGCCCATCGCGGCGCGATCAAGGCGATCCCTGCCGCCCCTCGACGACTTGAGGTCCTGTTTCGGGAGCGCGGGGGGAAAGGCTTCCTCCTCCTCCTCCCTCGAAAGGCCGGGGGAGGCAGCGGAAGCGGGGCGATAACGAAAGAGGAGAGGGAGAGAAAAAGAGAGAGATAGAGAAAGAAAGAAAGAGAAACAGATATGGGGAGCGAGACGAAGGCGGCGGCGGAAACTGAGGCGGAGGTGGAAGCGCAAGAAAAGAGGAGCAGCAAGAGGAAGAGGTCATTAGGTGAAGCGACAGGAGACGGATGCAGATTCAGACAGAAAAACAGGTTTGGAAGCGGACGCGAATGTGGGAGCAAAAACGCCCGACAATTGCGGGGGAACGCGAGAAAGAGCAATATGGGGATACAATGGAAAAGTATGAGTAATTTCGCCAGCCCAACTGGCCAGAGGCGTGCTACGATCTCCCGGAACTACTTCACAAACTACATGTATATTTTGGTTCGCGCGCGCGGGGCGGCAGTCGAAAGTAAGAGTGCCATGGCGCATACGTAAAAATGGGGAAGACGATGGCACGGGGAGGGTTGGCGATAGGAAATAAAAAAAGCCCTTCTCACTTCCAGCGCCTCAGATCGAATGTCGGCTGCGGCGCCGGCACTGGCAAATGGGGCGGCGCAGTCCTGGGCTTGGCTGGCAGCGGTACAAAACGAGCATACGTCCTCCCTTGGGACAGACCCTCAAAGTCGAGGGGGGGAACAAAGCCTGATCGCTCCTGGCCCCATGTTGGCTCAAGGCGGCCGCAGTGTGTCAGGTAACCGAATGATTCGATCACCACGGTTGCAAAGAGGCTAGTGGCAATAACGAGGGCGCGTAGAGATGAGCCATGTTTCCATCAACCAGTCGGCTTAGCACCAAAGTGTAAGTAAAAATACAGTTTGTGCTTGTGCTGGGCCAGCCGACAAGCAGCCCAGAGAGCCCTGAAAGACCCCGATGGGGCTGATCCCACCTAGGGCAGACAGATTGTCAGCGTCGCGCGTCCGCGAAACTAAAGCCAAGCAGGGGGCTTACATCCCTGGCATAGGGATGGCCGAAGGAGCGCGGCAGCGCGCCCACTTCCAGGCAGTCGTGACTCGGCGGCAAAACGTCGGCAAGAGGAGCGCAGGCACGCGCGCATTCCTGGCAGTCGCGATTCCAAAAAACTCCGGGCGGGGACAGGAGGAGCGCCCCCCCTGCCATGCAACAGGCGCCCGTGGCTGAGCCACCCCTCAGACCGCAAGTGTCCAGCGAGGCGCATGATTTACAGTGGCCCCACGCATTGGCAGCGGGCGCGTTACCACGACATGGCGCACGCGACCAACCTGCGCGCGCGCAACTCTGACATCCACCCACGACCTTTCAAAACAGCTCCCCTTGGCGTGCTCATCCGCTGCCACGTCTCGGGCGTCGCACCACAGCGCGTTTGCGATGCAGGAGGGAGGACGAGGAGGAGGGAGGAGGGGGGGGGAGGGGGGAGGGGGAGGGGGGAGGAGGAGGAGGAGGGAGGAGGAGGAGGAGGAGGAGGAGAGGAGGACGAGGAGGAAAATCTCTATGCCAACTAATATGGTGCAGAAATGTCCGCTCGGCGCGCCCGGTTCCCTGCGGGAGAGAGACTCGCACGCGGACTCGGCATCAACCGCGGAGGATACAGCAATAGAGAGACCTTCTCCTCCTCCTCCTCCTCCTCCTCCTCCTCCTCCTCCTCCTCCTCCTCCTCCTCCTCCTGCTCCTACTCCTACTCCTCCTCCTCCTGCTCCTCCTCCTCCTGCTCCTCCTCCTTCTCCTCTTCCTCCTCCTGCTCCTCCTCCTCCTCCTCCTTCTCCGCCCACTCCTTCTCCGCCTCATCCTGGTTTCCTCCCCAAGATGTCTGAGCCCAGAGGGGGTCGGCAGGTCCTCCAGGAGCTCACGTTGCGCCACTCACATGGGATTCCAATTATCCACGCTGCGCGCTGCAGCAAATGCTTCGGCAGCGTAACCAGATCACATTTGGAGGCGATGAGGTTCGCACAGGCTATCGACGCAATTGATGACATCCCCCTAGCTGCTCGTGATTCCACGGCGCGGCAGGCTGCATTATCCAAGACCGTGGCCTGTCGTTTCGTCGCCCCCCTCTCCAATGAATTTTCTGCGTCCCGAGTCGCCACGTAGATCGAGATTGCCGTTGGGCGCCATGGCGCGGCAAGTTCTCTTTGGGACAATGCAATAATTAGCGAATGGTGGCATTAAGACGTCTCGCCTAGAGATTCGTCGGTTTTTGAACGCGTTGTAGTGACACAGAATACCCCGAAATCCAGAATGGCGCGCGCGGAGTAGGCGAAAGTACCCAGAAGACTGACCAACATCTCGCTGCCTGTATTGCTGGCCGTTGGAGATGCCCCGGCTAGGCAGGGGCGTGCAATTGGACTTTGTTGTCGTCTCAGTACATGGTCACGTCGCCATCCTCCGTCTTGGCGCACCTGACTGCACAGGTGATGCAGGTGTGATGTCTAAGCTTTCCTGTGCCAGACACCTGCTCTACGTTGCGCGCGTAGGAGCCAATGCGCGACTCCATGCCACGCGCGTTGGCGTCACCCACGTGTTTCGCAATAAGTAGACCTGGCGCAGCTCCAAGAAACTTGGCCATATGAAATCGACTCGAGACCGACGCCGTCGGTCTTTCATTTGATCTTGAGGGAGAAGGCTCGCTGAGCGCCCTGCGTGCCAGTGTCTGGCTTGAGACAAGCGAGACAATGGCGGCGCTCGTCATAATCTGCCAACCCAGGTAGCGCACGCAGAACAGAGGCGCCCCCAGGAGGTAATTCAATACGCTCCTGGATACCCGTTGATTCAGCTACTCCCTTAAATGTCCGACCCTTAAGGATGCCGTGTCCACGTCCAGGCTGGACATGATCAAGTCTTCATGGCAAGCTGCCTCGCTGGCCAGTAAGCGCTGCGAGGTACGCCTGGCCGTTCCTGCAAGGGTCTCTACTGAGACGGCCCCCTGATCCATGAAGCCTCTCAGTACTGTCGGATAAGTTTCTTAGTCTTGCCAGTATCGATTTAGACGAATTTCGATTTCTACACATAACATGAAGTCATTGCGTTTTGAATATTGGACAGAAGCTCTTTGGCAAAGCGTCGGTTATCGAACCATATTTTCAGGTCGGCGAAGAGAGCGCTCGATAGTTGCTCAGGATGACTCAACATGTCATATTTCGATAGTAGGTCATTCTTTTTCACGACGACGGCCCGCTTGATCTCAGCCGAAACGTATACACGCATTGTAGCTAGCTCGTCGGAGTGCACGGCGTTTAGTTGTGGCTCGTCCTAAACCACCTTGGTCATGTCTCCAGCGAAGCACCGCTCGGCGCATTTACCATGGGCGTCGGCGTCGAAGACGCAGTCGTTGCCATAGCTTCACAATCATCAAGCACATTGATGGCCAAAGTGCGATCACCCGACTTTTGGTGAGAGAAGTGCATGTTGCACTGGATATGTCTGCAGAGGTCAACGGTGCCTGCTAGAAGCATGCTTTCATGCGTATACGATAACTAAACTATGTTGGCCCGCATGATAGGAATCAAGACCACGTAACGACGGTGAAGCTGTTCGGTCCGGATGTATGTTTCAATGTACTGGTGGTCAAGATTACCAAGTTCCTGGTACCAGTCGTGCATCAGCATCGTGTTCTCATCCTGCTCGTTTTCTCCTTCATCTATGGTGGATAGTCTGCCGGCATCTCTCTCGAATTCCATAGGGGTGTCAGGGAGGTTCGTGCTTGCACGTTCGTCACTCTCCAAATGGTCACCTGCTAGGCCAGAGAATCGCGAGAGGTCTTCGCCGAGGGAATGCATTTGTCTAGAAGAGATCAAGCACTGCACCAATCGACAGTCGAGCATGACTGCAGCCGGTGATGTCGGGTACATTAAGCGAACGATTAGTTAACTGACAAAAGTGGAAGGCTGGTTGGACGTCATTGTCGTAACAGATCCATGCAATGCAATCAGCAGCAGGATAGGACGGCAGGGTTTGAACGCTGTGCGCAAACCTGACAGCAATCGCAGTGTCATTCCTAAAGTGGCTTCTGATAATACGTTGTAATGCCGCATGTACTTAAGAAACAACTTGCTTCCCACAGATAGACTGTACACCTTCTTTTGGTTCGGATGGCCACGCGATCTTAGCCGAAAAATGTAAAAAGGAGAGGTTGAATACAGCAATAATAATGAGGGGGATAATGCCGGCCGGGTTGCTTGAGCCAAAATGGCCGTAATGATGATTATCATGATGATGACGACGAGGATGATGATATTGTTGTTGTTGTTGATGATGATGATGATGATGATGATGGTGGTGATGCTGATGATGATGCTAATGATGGTGATGGTGATGGTGATAGTGATGATGATGATGATGATGATGATGACGACGAGAAGGCCAGGGCGGCGGCAAGAGTCCCCACAACCCTGCCGTCCTCGGACTCGCCACCCTGGCGGCGCGCGAGAGGAGCAACCACGACAGATCGCGATCAGTCCATGCATCCGTACACTCGGGTGCTTGGACACAGTGATGCAGCCTGGCCACGCTTCGGCCTCAGTCGCACCAACCTTCTGGGCGTAGGTGGATCAGCGAGTACGTTATTCCATCCCCCTTGTTCCCTTCCCATCCGTGGAGGCCTCGCCGGAAGACCCTCTTCCCACCTAGCAAAGTCATGTTGGGGCCCCTTCGGGGCCTCTTTTGGACCGTTTGGGCCATCTTGGGACTCTCTGGAAGGCCTTTTGGAGCGATGTAACGCCGTTGTTGAAGGTTTAGGTGGTGCTCCGAATGTCGGCCGTGGAAATCCTTCAATAGCAGAATATGCACAGTAGGTAACCATATCACATCGACATCTTCGCAAATTCACATATCTATATATATATATATATATAAAATAAATAAATAATAAAAAAAGGCTTGTGGAATTCGACTCGCCTAAAGCATTTTCCGGGACACATTCGTAAGCATCCTTGTTAAGGCGTGCACACCTGAACAACAATGGAGACGTTCAACGAACAGGAGCGGTCAACCTTTGAAACACAAACAAAAGATTGACTGTGCAAGCAATTTCTGCAGTGGGGAAGTATCAAGAAAGAGGTTCGTGTAAGCACAAACGACTACGAAGCGAAAGTTACGAATTACCTTGCGGAGACAGTTCGAATCGTAAACAACGCGATGTAAATACCATGGGAACACCTGCAGAAATAAAAGAAAGAGCTTCCCAACATACCAGAAGTGCATCAACTCATTAAACGGGCTCACGGCATGCGGGGCCAGGCTACGAAAAGGAATGGACACGGCGAGAAGGCGATATCCTAAAAGGACAGATTAGACAATGGGGCAGTGGCAGTGAAACTGTGAGTACGCTAAGCCTCACCATCGCTCGGACGTCCATTCCCTATGTTTTTTTCGGTTTCGTGCGTGGTTTTTTCGCCAAATGATCAAGGATGCTCCTCGATGGTCCTCGCCGAGAAAAAAATGCACACGTCCGAGCGATGCCAGGTAAGCAGCTGGTAGCAGTCCCACGCTGGCCTTTCACATACAGTCGGAATGATTCCTGGAGTGTCGAAGAAAAGAACAAAACCGTGCGCGACCTGGACATCGCCGTGTCATGTTTCCAAAATACGCTTTGTGCTGATTCGCAATTGCACGCATTCGAAAAACAGTCAAAATTACCCTACCTGGGGGACAAACCGACAGTTGGGAATAAGCTGGCGCTGGCTTCTACGTGCTACATTGGGCAAAACATGCATATTGACATTGATTACGGAATACGTTCTGATGAACAAGAACCATGCATCCGCCACGAACTCTGGGGGACTTCAAAGCGAGACTACTGCAACGATACCCTGAGGACCTCTAAGAAATTCGAAAAGACGTTGTACATGAGACCCCGCTTCAAATAGAAAGCTTTCGATCGAATTGTTTCGATGTGGGGGGGGAGGCAAAAGCAACGTACTTTGACTTGAGCGTGCGCCAGATAGGCGCAATACGGACTGTATCATTTGAGCACTTGAACCATGTCGTAGTCGAACACTGAATGTTGCCAAACTTGCGATCTAAATGGGTTGACCAGCGCAGGTCCCTGCAATCTCACCACTTCGTGCACATCGTCGACTTGGAGATCGACATCCCCATAGCCGCACGACCCCGACAACCACACTGATTTGATTGGGACGCACTGCGAAACAGAACGGCGTTTGACAAACTTTCAATTACGTGCATTGCAAACTGGGAAGGAAACACCGGAAGCAAGCCCCTTGGATGCGGAAGCACAAGGCATCACATATTGCGCGCTGGATGCATCATCGCAGTCCGTGTCACTTCTTGCGGCCAGGACCCCTGCTAAATTAAGACATCATATTAGAGAAGATGTTGCAACTTGTCGACCAACATGCAATGAGACAGGGTGGGAGACAAGGGTAGACATCCAAACGCTAATCAAGCTCATCAAAACATCTGCACGCGCAGACCAGAAATCATGATTGGAAGAATTCAAAAATCCAATGGATGGGAAGCGATTCGGTCACTCAGGAACGGACTGTATCATTTGAGCACTTGAACCATGTCGTAGTCGAACACTGAATGTTGCCAAACTTGCGATCTAAATGGGTTGACCAGCGCAGGTCCCTGCAATCTCACCACTTCGTGCACATCGTCGACTTGGAGATCGACATCCCCATAGCCGCACGACCCCGACAACCACACTGATTTGATTGGGACGCACTGCGAAACAGAACGGCGTTTGACAAACTTTCAATTACGTGCATTGCAAACTGGGAAGGAAACACCGGAAGCAAGCCCCTTGGATGCGGAAGCACAAGGCATCACATATTGCGCGCTGGATGCATCATCGCAGTCCGTGTCACTTCTTGCGGCCAGGACCCCTGCTAAATTGAGACATCATATTAGAGAAGATGTTGCAACTTGTCGACCAACATGAAATGAGACAGGGTGGGAGACAAGGGTAGACATCCAAACGCTAATCAAGCTCATCAAAACATCTGCACGCGCAGACCAGAAATCATGATTGGAAGAATTCAAAAATCCAATGGATGGGAAGCGATTCGGTCACTCAGGAACGGACGCCCTCCAAAGCAGGGACGACTACGAGATCTGAGTGGGAGATTGAGTGGACGCCGAGAGTAGATCAGAAGCATTGGCAGAGTTCTTGCAAAAGAACAATGGAAGGCTACATGACGGAGCACAAGCATTGCCACAATTGGAAAGAGAAAAGGGTCATCGACACAGACCGAATCGCATTTGAAGAAATACGACAAACTGACAAGTTCTCCCACGTGCAAAACGCAAACGGTAATGCTGGTGCGCCGCTGGACTGAGGCAGACATTGTGGTCAGACGATACGACGATGTGGGGTCCCGGTGAATTACTCCATAGTGCTGACAGAAGAATACATACCCCCAACAATGGCGGGTCGCGTCTGTCGTGACCATCTGCAAACAGGTGGACACATCGCAGCCCAGCAACTTCAGACCCATATCCTTACTTGCAGTGGGTTATGAATTTGTGGTTTCTATAAAGATGCAATCAGCAGAACTACGAGCATCACAGTATAAATTCAAGCCAGGGAAAGGCACTACCAAGAAACTCTTAGCGTGCCGCCTCATAGACACTGCCCTGAAGTATAAACAAGGGATGTCCTCACTCTGACTGCTTGATTGGAGTAAAGGATTTTTGGACGTACTGCTACACTTCCAAGGTCCGCTAGACATATCGACATTGCGCTGGCGAAAACATAATACCCGAGACGATGCAGAGGACTATAGATGCTGGGATCGCTCAGGGGTCCAGGGCTGCCCTCCTTCACCATACCTGTTCATCATTGTGATGTCAATGTTGCTCGAAGTAATGGATGAGCAATTGCCCACAGCACAGCGTGGCCCACAGACCACCAAGACGTACTTCATCACGAAAGAAAAACTGCACGAGTCACGAAACAGTCTTAGTAGCAGTTGGCCAAACACTATTGCAAAACAATTGGAACACAGCCTTCAGCATTGGCAATACATGCGTATTGGAGTTGAACGCAAGGAGAACCATACTGCTACGCATACGCCCGGATACCACCAGCATCGGGCCAGATGGAGAGCCTATCGCATGTTAGATAGGCGCCTGTGTGGATGGCAACCCGCGTTCAAAGCTGCCAATGCATATCGCAAAAACAAGATGGTCGTCGACAATGTCTGTACCGTGCAAGCCCATGCGAACATCAGCAGGTGACTTATGTGTTCCCGAAGCTCATACATTGATTAGGGGCGTGCGTGCTCCTGCAAGTGGACAAAAACAGGCTCGCCAGATTTCAAGCCAACTGCCTGAGACAAACCTATAAAACACGGCCAGCGTGTTTTCCCAGGGTCGGCAAAGAAGCAGTGAGGTCTCTCGCTAAAGACCGCCCCCTGTCAGGTCTACTTTTGCACTTCTTGATTTCACGCAAGAGTGACCCTAGGCAAGCAAGAGTGACCTTTGGTGCGCAGCTGTGGGGGGGCGCGGGATGGACAAACCCAAGCGCTCAGGCCGCTGCTATCGTATCGCGCTAAGCCATCTGGGGACCCTGGTGCGCCCGCACCAAGGGGCACCCTGTTGAAAGGTCACTCTCGGCGACTCCGACGGGTGTGGTTTGCAAGGGTGTGGCTTGCAACCGGCACCCCGGGGGGCACCCTGCGGGGCGGGCGGGGATCTCGATAGAGCTCTCCACCACGCCCCGAGGAGACCCGACGTGGACTGTGTCGTGCCTTCCAGGACCCAACGGCGCGGATCGCAACACCCCGGCGTAACCACTTCGCGGCGACAGCTCAAGCCACGAGTTGGGCGCGAATTAATGGGGGGCGACACAATGAGGGAAGACAGGTGCGGTTCTGGGCCTCTGAAACAGAATCCCTTCTGGGCCCGCAAGGCTTTAGGGGCATGATGAAAAAAGGGCCCTTTTCGGCAGCCCTCGCTGCCCCCCCATTCATCGCCACCCCATATCGCCACCCACACGAGCCCAGCCGACCAGCCCGCCTGGCTCGTCGTCGCCTCGGCCAGCTCTCTGCGGAACTGCTGCTGCCGCCGCTCCTGCGCTCGCTCGCCGCCGTCGCTCGTCGCTCGTCGCCGCCGTCATCAATCGCCGGTTCGTCGTTTTCGTCGTTTCGTCGTTTTCGTCGTCGTCGTCGTCGTCATATTCGTCGTCGTCGTGGTCATGGTTGGCGTCGTTGTTGTCGTTGTCGTGGTCGTGGTCGTGGTCGTCGTCGTCCCCCCTTGGTAACGTCACGATTCGCGCCACCAGAGGCTTCTGAGAGACCTCCCCGGATCTGCGGACAGACTTTTGCGAATCTTTGGAGGTTCTGGAGGCCTCCAGACGACGTCGGCCGTCGTTTTCGTCGTCTTCGTTGTCGTCGTCGTTTCCTATCGCCGTCCGCCGTCGTCCGCCGTTCGGCATCGTCGCTCGTCGGAGGGGGGAAGGGGGAGGAGCGCAGACGGGGCCTGGGGCAGGGGGAGGGAGGGAGGGGAGGGAGCAGGAGGGGAGGCAGGGGAGGGAGGGGAGCAGGAGGGAGGGGGGCAGGAGGGAGCAGGAGGGAGGGAGGTGAGGGAGGGAGGGGAGGGAGGGAGGGGAAGCAGGGGGGGGCGGGGGGGGAGGAGCGGGGAGGGGTCAGGCTTGGGGGCAGGGGAGGCCCCAGGGGAGGAGCCAAGGCAGGCGGAGCGAGGAGCCGGGTCGAGCCGCAGAGCCGCCCCTCGCGCGCAGATCCGCCGAGCTCTCGGCCCCGTCCCCGGGGGGGATCAAAATTGCGCGCACGTCCCGTGCCGTGTCGTGCTGGCCCTCCTCCTCCTCCTCCTCCTCCTCCTCCTCCTCCTCCTCCTCCTCCTCCTCCTCCTCCTCCCCCCCTCCTCCTCCTCCTCCTCCTCCTCCTCCTCCTCCTCCTCCTCCTCCTCCTCATACTGCCAGCGGGTGGAACGCGGGCCACGGGGAGTGGCTCTTGAGCCTGTCCCAGCAACCAGCTTTGCCACGAGGCGCGGTTGCTGACTTCCTTTCGATGGCGGGCGGCCTATGGGAGGTTTGGAGATGGGCACCAACACCAGAACAGAGGGGTGCGTCCACCCGGGGAGGATGGTCTTAGATTTTGGCACTGGTGGCAATATTTTGGCCACCCAAGAAGCCCGAGCATTACCACCGTCACCGGGTTCGGGATCATCTTCCCTCGGTCGCGGCACACCGCCGGTATTGGTGTTGGTGTCAACCTCTAGGCCTCCGTGGGACGCACATGGATATACTAATACTATATGTCCTCCTTGGAGGCGCACGTCCGACCCGAACATATAGTACACCCATCTTGTAGTATATCGTTTCCCGAGCGGTGTGGCCAGAAAGCGCCGGCCACGACGCATATACTATCAAATTTCTCGGTGCGCGTGTCGCCCCTGGGGGGGGGGGGGGGGGGGCGACGCACACATAGTATGAGAATGTTGGGGTGACGCCGATTTCGAGCCTATGTCTGCCGCAGGAGTTGCTTGCGATTCCTGTAGTCGAGATGGGCTGCCCATCCACTGTCGCCGTGCAGGCTTCCCCCTGGCCCAGCGACGACCTCTGTCGCCTTGCACTAAGCCCACGCAGTCCTCCCCCCTGAAGATCGTCACGTGGACTGTCTTGGGGAGTGTTCTGGCCAGAACTGCAGTGGAAACCCAATCGTGGCGGCGAGGAAGCGCCAGGAAGCACAGAAAGGTCGAAAGACTGAGAAATTCTTACCTAGACGAGGAATAGGAGGAGGAGGAGCAGGAGCAGGAGGAGGAGGAGGAAGAGGATGAGAAAGAGACAGAGAAAGAGAGCACACCTCCCATCAGCCCTTTAGGGCGTGAGTTGTTTCGTAAATGTCATATTCCACCCCCCCTGTTACCCCTCGGGGAGAGATTGATCACTGCTCCCTATTAACAAACACCACCTACCCCAGGCGACCAGCAGACAACCCGGACCAATGAGCCCCCCCACCACTATTCCTTGTAACCAATAATACACAAATCACTTTGCCTTCAAATCTGGCGCATGCGCGGGCGCCCCGCGACCATTTTGCAGTGGTTTCTCAAAGGGACGGCGGGGGTGATGGCATATTGCTTGCTGCGCGCAGGCCAGCCATCCCTGTCAAAAAACAAAACAAACATTCCCTTTGGCTCCAAATCTCGAGCATGTGCGGAGCCCTCTTTTCTCTGAGCTCTCATCTGTTTCACGACTCCTCAAAATGTCACAATTCCTCCATCGGCGCTGGGCCTCTGCGCTAATCACAGAACGCTCGGCACTTCACATCGGGGGGATTCAAGATCCTAAACTCCTTGGGGCCAGGGCCCCAGGCACCTGGGGTCCCCAGTTGTTCCCCGCAGCTAGCGCACCTGGCGCGACTGGAGCACGTGGCACAACTGGCGCACGCGGAGCTTGTGCCGCACCTGGCACGCTTGGGCCTCCAGGGTGCCTGGTGCACCCTGGAGCTGGAAGGAGGAACCCCGAGGCCCGACGTAGCGAAAACACGGCAGCCTCGCGACAAACTACAAATCACAGCCCCGGATCCCGCCTGTCTGCGCCGCTCCCTGAGCCGGATCGACCTGCAGAGGGTCCCATGG